AGGCAGCTCCAGCCACTCTGCCCCAGGCCCAACCCCCAGGTCCTTTTCTGCCAGGCAGCTCCAGCCACTCTGCCCCCAGCCTGTATCCCTGCAGGGCGTTGGTGGGACCCAAGTGCAGGACCTGGCACTTGGCCTTATTGAACCTCATCCCGTTGGTCTCAGCCCATCCATCCAGCCTGTCCAGATCCCTCTGCAAAGCCTCTCTACCCTCCAGCAGGTCGACACTGCCACCCAGCTTGGTGTCACCTTTTGTAATTCCTTTGTAATCTGAGATCATCACAACACAAATGAATGAATGAACTGGTCGACACTGCCACCCAGCTTGGTGTCGCCAAAACCCAGATTCCTTTGTAATCTGAGATCATCTTTAAACAAACACAAATGAATGAATGAACCCTTTTAGCTCAAGGGTTTCACACATAAACATTTCAGGCCAAAAACTTAAGCATTCTCTGAATGACAAGACCTTCCCCACAGCACACTTTGGTTTTGCTTTGTCTCTTACAGAAGTAGAACCAACACAGCCGCTGAGGAACCGACACCAGGATCTGCTGTGCTTACAAACTCCAACCCAGTATTAAGAAAGAAGGGATTAACTGAGATGCAATGCAGCATCCTATGTGGGTGTGCTGCTTGCAGAGCCGCGCCCTAAAACATGTAAAAGAAAATTTCTCTGCCTAATTGAAGTGCACTAATAGACGGCAATTAGTCTGCCTGTTTTGTCTGAAGCCTGTTCCAGTGCCCAGAACGGCCTGCCCCTTTGAGGATTTCCACAGGAATACAACTTTCCGCTCCTAATCCCGCCTTCTGCGCCAAATTCACCTTCTCCTCATTTACATTGAGCCTAGACGCGTTCACGAGTTGATGTTCCCGCGGGTTTCCAGCAGTGAATGCCCGGACCCATGACACCCGCCTCCACACGGCGACACAGACCCCACGGATCCCACCAGCTCCCTCCAGCGCTGCAGAAAGGGGCACACCAGATGGGGAAGCGTGAAAAGGGAGCGGTATTTACTCCTCCCGGGCCTCCTCCGCGTGCCTGCCGGTCACCCCCATAAGAGCTCCGCGGGCCAGGCCCGGCCCGGCGCCGCGGAACGAGGAGGCCGCCGAGGCCCACCGATACCGCCCCCCACACCTCCACCGGCCGCAGCGGCTGCTCACCCGCCCCGCGGGGCCCACCGACACCGCCCCAGGAGGAGACGGAGAAGAAGAAGGAGAAGGCAGCAGGAGAACGGGAAGCTCCCGGGGAGTTCCGTCTGCGGGGAAGCAAAAACACCGGCACTTCCGGCGCGCGAGGGGGGCCAGAACTTCCGGCGCGCGCCTGCTGCGTCCCCGCTTCCGGCCTCTTTCATTGGCCCGCGGGAGGCCGCGCACCTCCCTGCCGCCGTGGCGTCACGCGCGCGCGGTGGGGCCGTTGGCGGGGGGGGGGGGGCGGGTTGGTGGGGGGAGTCGGGGTGGGG